GAGGACATTGAGGTGCTGGAGCGAGTCCAATGAAGAGCAGTGAAGGTGGTGCAGGGCCTGGAGCACAAGTCTGATGGGGAGCGGCTGAGGGAGCTGGGGGGGGGTTGTCTGGAGAAGAGGAGGCTGAGGGGAGACCTGATCGCGCTCTACAGCGACCTGAAAGGAGGGGGTAGCCAGGTGGGGGTCGGTCTCTTCTCCCAAGTAACCAGTGATAGGACAAGAGGAAACGGCCTCAAGTTGCGCCAGGGGAGGTTCAGGCTGGACATTAGGAAGAATTTCTTCACTGTAAGAGTTGTTAAACATTAGAACGGGCTCCCCAGGGAGGTGGTAGAGTCACCATCCCTGGAGGTGTTCAAAAAACATTTAGATGTGGTGCTTCGACACATGGTTTAGTAGGCATGGTGGCGTTGGGTAGAAGATTGGACTTGATGATCTTTGAGGTCTCTTCCAACCATAACGATTCTATGATTCTATAACTGTAAGCATTGCTTCATTGTAGTCTATGTTAAGATGTATGCTCAAATGAGTTTTTAATCTTTTTTTTCACACAGAATAAAACTGACAAAGAGAAGGAGGAGAAGTATTCTAAAAACTGTAAATTACGACGGTTGTCAAAACCACCCTTTCACACCAGCACATCACCAGAGACTGGGTCCAAACTTGACAGCACTGAAGCCAAAAATACTGAACAAGCTCCAGTTAAATCAATAGAAATTACTTCTATCATTAATGGGCTACAAGGTATTGTAGTTAAGCTTTTTCTAAATCTGTAAATGGCCTTTAAACAGTCACATATGACAATGTAGAACAACCGATACAATTGTACACTTGAGTCTGGCTAATTATAACATCGTCTTCAGAAATAACCCCTGAACAAAAGAATATTCACAGTTTCTGAAAAGAGGTATTGTAGATTCAGTGTATGTTAACAGTCTTAAGAATTACATCCTTTGTTTTGCCATCCTTTTTTGTTTGATACACAGCAAAACATTTTTGCTTCCTGTATTATTTCTCAATCTCTAATTTTTGATTTATGTAACTTTTAGGACCCATGATTATTTTTTTTTTTTTTGTCTTGAGAAATGGAATTAATAAAGCTAGGTTTTCTATCAGCGCATCTGTTATTTTACCCTTCCCACACATTTACAGCAACATTATAATAACTAGTTGCTTCTTTTCATCCTTAGTTTAGTGTGTACCTCCAAAAAAAGAAATGATACATGGTATAGGTAGTTTGAATAACTAGCAATTTTTGTGGAAGTTGTATGAATTTAATAATCTTTCAGACTTATTCTGACTCGGATGGCATTGGCCACTGGGTTCCAAATTTGTAGGTAGAATAGCTGTCAACATAATATATTAAGCTTTGTTTCCTTAGGAAATGAGAAACAAAAAGGCAATTAGCAGTGATGATAATGACACTATTATTAGTGCTATAATTAATCTGTAATTAACTTCTGATTACAAAAGCACAATTTGGCGTACACCCTCTAATATTTTGGAAAGTGAAATGTTTTCCGTATTACGTAATTAATTTCCAGAAATGCTTTTAATTGTATGCAATTCTTTTTATCATTTAAGTGCACATAGATTCATGCTGGGGATTAACTTTTTTCTGATACTTGCAGGTTTTTGTTTTTAAGTATGAAAGGCTCTAATGTTTTACTATTTCTTTTTCCTCCAATTTAGAGCTGCTCGCTCAAAACTTTTTACCATTGTTTTTGGGGGGTTTTTTGGTTTGATTTGGTTTGGTTGTCCTAAATTGGAATGATTAATGCTATTGTATTCAACTGTCCTTTGAAGGGCACAGGAGACTAAATAGGTTGAGAGGAAAACTTGATGGGCCTGCTTTTTGGTGGTTTTTTTAAATGTAGTGGTTTTGGCTTTTATTTCAAATGGCCTATTTTATTACTGCTTATATTGTAATAGTAATGTAGTTTTTATCCTCTAAGGCATGAGAAAGGCAAGTGTTAGAAGTCCATTTTAAGTGACAGAGTACTTGGAACTTTAGGCCAAAATGTCTACCAGAAGTGTTTAATTAGAAAAAAGCAAACAACACTGAAAGGGTTGTGCAAAACTTGCTTTCAGATTGAATCTTAGTGTAGAATTTAAGATCCTGCCTATCTTAAAACAAATAAACCAAGAAAAACACATAAGGCAGCATATCTCAGGGTATTTTGTCCTGTACACCTCTTCTCTCTGTTAGTGTGCTCTTCTCTTAAGTTCATCGTATTTCAGTAAAGCTTTTTTTAAAAAGTTAATTCAACTTTGATCATTTCAGTGAATTTCCATTGACAATGTTGCTTTTCTTCTCTGTCATTAGTTACATTATCATCTTTAAAGAGGTGGTGAGTTTTAGTGAGGAATTGAGAATGAGAGATGGGAAGTAGGATAAGAAAAGTTAAACTAGGTATGCCAACAAAAATGAATGAGTTGCCAATGAAGGAGTTACCCATATATTTGAGCCAATTCTTGTTGTTTCTCCTTGTATCGATATTTTTCCCACTGAATGAGCTGTTGTTGATTACTTCTCCTTTAAATCTTTGTTCTTCTTCTCTCAGTTTCTTTATTCCTGACCCTGAATTTTCTTACTGTTGCCCTACTCTCTTATTGTTCATATATTTCTCCAAGTGCCTTTCATTATTGCTTTAACTTCCTTTTTCCAGGCTGGTGATCAGGTTGGTTTGTTAGAGATTATCCAGTGTCTGTGGTGGTGTTCTGTCTTTTTAGGCTGTGGATTCTCCAGGGAAAATACTATCTCTGTTCTGGGCTTTGGAAAAAGGGCAGATAATGATAGTATTAGTAACCCATAAGAAATATTGAGAGTTTTTATGTTAGGCACATCTTTCAACTTCTGTTTTGGTTAATTATGCAGAGGTTTGTATTTTATGAATTGATGCACTGTGTACTTTCTCCACCTCTTCATAAATTCCTGGAGATGTACTGTATAACACAGAATTTTCCTAGTTCCTAATCTAGCCATTATACCTTCTAATCTGTAGACGTTAGGAGGCATTTCTTCAAGGAAGGGGCCGTCAGGCATTGGAGTGGGCTGCCCAGGGAGGTGGTGGAGTTATCATCCCTGGAGGTGTTTAAGAAGAGACTGGATGTGGCACTCAGTGCCATGGTCTAGCTTACATGGTGGTGTTAGGGCAAAGGTTGGACTCCATGATCCCAAAGGTCTCCTCCAACTAAATTGATTCTGTGATTCTGTGTGGTTCTGTAATAGAACAGCAAATACATTTTTGAAGCTTCAGGAGGTACCATTTAAAATATATACTACTAGAGATCCCTGTAGCATGTGCTCGTATCTGTACAGTTTTCTTTAGTTGTTTTTTTTTTTTTTAAGCGTTCTTTGTAACAAGAATCAAGACAAACTTTTCTTGTTTTGTTTTTGTTTTTTTGATTTATTTTTAATTAGCTTCTGAAAGTTCTGATGATAGTGAGCAGGAAGATGACCAAAGTGCCCCAATTGTACATGCTGATGGCAAAGAGGAATCTCAACATGAAGCTGTAAGCCAAGATAAAAACGAACTCTGTTTAAAAGAAGAACAGAGTGGTTCATCCCTCCCAGAAGAAACTAAAGCTCTGACAGATGTAGCAGTGCCCAAGTCAGGATCCAAGTCCCCTGAAAGATTGCGAAAAGAGATGGAAGAGTTATCTGAAGATACTGACTCCGATGGAGAAGACGAAGCCACAAAGAAGAAAAAGGATGTAAAAAAGGAAGCAGTGGATAAAACAGCAAAACCACAGGTAAAACGTGGTAAACGAAGATACTGTGTTGCAGAGGAATCTTTAAAGACTGTGTCACCTAATAGAAAGGATGAGAAGTCCAAGAACAAAGACTCTCTTAGTTTAGAAAACAGCAGTAACAGCTCCTCGGATGAAGATGAGGAAGACAAAGCTAAACTGAAAATCACACCAACTAAAAAGTACAACGGACTAGAGGAGAAAAGGAAGTCTTTACGGACAAGTACTTTCTACTCAGGATTTTCTGAAGTGGGAGAGAAAAGAATAAAGCTTCTAAATAACTCTGATGAAAGACTTCAGAACACCAGAGCAAAGGATCGAAAAGATGTCTGGTCAAGTATTCAGGGACAATGGCCGAAGAAAACGCTGAAGGAACTGTTCTCGGACTCTGACACTGAAGCTGCTGCCTCCCCTCCGCACGCTGCTCCTGAGGATGCTGCGGCAGAGGAGCAGCTTCAGACTCTTCCAGAAGAAGACATTTCTTTGCCTAGCTCTGAACTTGAAAAATCTTTGCCAGCTAGTGTGGACGTTAAACCTGTTGAGGAGAAACCGACTGAAGTGGGTGAAAAGAAGGTTGAATTTCCAAGCAGTGGCAGTAATTCAGTATTAAATACTCCTCCTACAACTCCTGAATCGCCTTCGTCTGTCACCGTAACAGAGTCCAGTAGACATCAGTCCAGCGTCACTGTCTCCGAGATGCTGCCACCAAATCAAGAAGAGATACGAAGCATTAAAAGTGAAACAGATAGCACAATAGAGGTGGACAGTGTTGCAGGGGAGCTGCAAGACCTCCAGTCTGAGGGAAATATTTCTCCAACAGGTTTTGATGCCAGCGTCAGCTCCAGTAGTAGTAATCAACCAGAGCCAGAGCATACTGAAAAAGGTAAAGGAAAGGGTAAACAGAGCTGTCTTCAGCCTAACCAGCTCTCATTTTAGCATTGCTGATGTCTTGTCATTCTGTTATGGTTACACTGCTGGGAAGTCAGTTGTTGGAGGAAGTAGTAGCCTGCTGTCTGCTTCAAATACGTGGAAATGGCATAGTCATCTAGTGAATAAAATATAATCTGCTGGGAAGTTTCTTGGCCTTTCATTAGGAATCGTGATGGTTTCAATGAGGAATAAAGTATATAAGAATTAAGTTTATACTGGACATGGCAAGAAAAGCCCAGAGCAAACTGTAATACATTGTATAAGGAATATTTATTGTAGCAAGATGGATACATTTTCAGTACCTTGCTTACGAGTAGAAGATACTGTTTCTTACAGAAAATTTTGATTCTCTGTAAGCAGTTTATTTGGGGGGAGAAAATGACAAGTTATTGCAGGCTTAGGCAACCATTTCGAACTTGCATCTTACGAAGTTAATGTTTGGAAAAAAATACAAGTCAGGCTGATGACAAACGTTGACCTTATTAGGTATGTTTCACTTTCAGATGTGATTTTGCAGATTGAAGTTCCTATCCGCAGACCACTAGAGGACAGGGGATGATAAACACTGACAGCACTTGTGCATGTGATGTCAGTGTACTGCTGCCAGCTTTTTAACTGTTTGCAAGGCTGGATCCAAAAGCTTTTTTGTGAAAGTCACTGGCTCTTTTACAGTTCCGTCAAAAGTACAGCTGACTGTGTAAAAGTGCCTAAAAAAATCATTAATACAAAGGAAAAAAAAAGCAAACGTGTCTGAACATAATCCTGAGATGGCATAAGTGGTTTCTTCATATCAACGGATTTCAGTTAATAATTAACTGAATTGTCTCAAAATGCCCTTAAGGAGCCTTACCTTCATCATTCTGTTTTAATTGTTCTTTTGAGAGAAGGCAACAAAATGTATTTCCTTAAACAAAGGAGAGAGTTTGGAAGAGGGGAATATGTAGCCCTCAATAAATACACCTGTATTGCTTTGTTAATTATAGATGTGTAGGTTTAGAACTTAATTTGTTCGCTTTTTTTATACATATATAAGTAAGTTATTGCCACATGAAAAAGTTTTACGCTATTGCACAAGATTACTTTTACATGCATTAGACTTTAACTTCCTCTCTGATTTTGTCAGCATGCTGCCTGTTCTAGAAAATTGGGTTTCTTGATTTAAATGGGTTTGTTACAGGAGTTGTTTTTAATCTGTAAGTCAGGTGGTTGTGGAACAACGTTTGAACAAGTCCTAAAATTTGCTCTTTTAACAGGTGTACTAGAATTCATTTATCTTCCTTTTCTGCTTTTCCCCCTTGTAGTCGCAAATACCAGTAGACTTTTTCCTCATTTTTTTTGTTTGCCTTCTTTTTTGTTGCCTTGTTTTTTAACATTATCTAAGGTTTTTTTTTTAATACTTCCAGTTAATGTAATTTCTGATCACAAGTGATAGTTTGTTTTTCTCACAGCTTCCAAGTGCGACAGGCTTTTTTGAACATTTTTCAGTTCCAATAGTTCTTCAAGTTTTTCAAATAAATGTATTCTTATTTAATTCACAGTATTAAAATAAAAATCCCTGTGGTTCAAGAGAAATTCTGATGATGCATACGGGAAAGTTAGTTGCAATCATTTTACATGTGCACTCTAACCAACAAACTGTGTCTGCCTTCCATCTTCCTTCACCTCCTCTTGTCAATATAAGTAGAAAGCTGAGCCGTATTAAGGACAGGCAGGAGCATTCGCATTGTTGTCTACAAACTTAACCTCTGAAGTGTTTTTTTTTTTTTTAAGAGTTGGAGAAAAACACATGGAAGTGCTAGTATTTATTTAATTTCTCTCTTTTTTTTTTTTTTTTTCAATTGTAGTCTGTACAGGCCAAAAAAGACTTAAAGATGCTCAGGGAGGAGGCAGCTCCTCAAAAAAGCAGAAAAGAAGCCACAAAACATCTGTGAACAACAAAAAGAAGAGTAAAACTAGTAAGTAGAGCAGCTCGGTGTGAAATGAAATGTGTGAAAGTACTGTGTCATTTATTTGAACGATTGTAGGAGATAAAGTCTGGAAATAAAAAATGTATTAGAACAAAATGTTCTCATCAGGGAATTCTTAATACTGTTTAAAGGAAGAAACTACTCTTGCTGAATGCCAAAGTGTTTTTAAATGTCTTGTGTTATTTCTGGGCCTATTTCTAAGAGGTCCTTAATGTTGTGTAATTCAGGAAGACTAAGAAGAGCAAGTATTTCACACTTGGTAGAATTGGGACAGGAATCTCTGTGGTGTGGTAGCTGCATGTTTTAGAGGGGAGACTGGGACTTGGATGAAATCATAGTTTGTATTTTCTGTAAGATGAGTTTTTAGAGGTTAATATCTCTTCCAGTAGCAAATATGAGCATAATTCCAGAAGAATATAGGCTCTGTTTTCTTCTGTATCATCTGTTACATCTTCAGTAAATAATGCAGCTTTTGCAGCTTTTTTTTGGTAGTTGTAGAAGCCAATTGGAATAGAAACCACAGTACTGGGGAAGAGAAGCTTAATAAAAGCAGAGGTATATTAGAGAGACGTGCACTCGTGTTCAGGAGACAGCAAGATCAATTACTGTCTCATCATGCTGTTAGTAAAAAATACCAGGAAACAGTCAGCCAGAGGGTGAAGCCGGGAGGATAGCTGTCAAAAATGCAGTTAAAGCAAGGATAGAAAGCATATGCTATGCCTTTTTTCCTCTCTCGTCCTCCCCCCCCGCCCCTTTTCTTTCTTTTAACAGCCTTTCACTAAAAGTCTGTACTTTCTGGTCTGGTATTTGCTCTCGCTCCACCTGTCTTTCATGATCATTGATCTCCTCTTCACGTTCTCTCATCCTTTTTAATTCCATTTCACTAATCTCCTCCTGCCATAATCCATATTCCTTAAAGTAACAAACCAAAATGAATTTGCAGAACAAATACACCGTTTTTAGCCTTGCCATTGTTCATTTTGATTTGGTGAATTTATCCCTTTTCCTCAACCTATGTCTTCATAAAGATGCAAGCACTTCAAAGCTGGAATTGTTTCTTGTACCATGTACGGTCCTTGGTGTGTATGTGCCCTTGTTGTTAGACTTCAGGCACTACTGTATGTAATAAGGGCCATAAATAGATAAAATGTGGAGTCAGTTGTGAGCAATCAATGCTTTTTGCAAAATTCACGTGCACCAGTTAAAGCTGCTTTTGTGGCAGCGTCAACTCTTGCCTTTGCATTAAACCAGCAGATAACAGCAGCTCTGCAGCCAGCCAAGTTCTTCCATACCATGTGTATCTCAGTGTTCAGTTTCTCCAGCGTAGATCACCAGAGCATAAAGACCAGAACCAAAAGAGTCTTTCAGGGTTCATTTTGTCAAGACCTATGGCAGGTACAACTGAGGCATGAGTTTCTCTGGATAAATATTAATTGAATGTGTTTTTAAAACCAGCTCTAATTATGTAGATTCTGTGGCTTCCCTAGGCATTTTATTGCAGTGCTCCTAGTCTTCTGTTGAATTATAATCTCTTGCCCTTGCTTCCACCTCAGTTTTCTTTTTGTAATGCTAAACAAGCTTCATCCTTTCAATCATTACTCATAAATCATGTCTTTTAGACAGATTGTTTTGTTACTCTCCTTTGGGCGATTTGCTTAGAAAACTGTGTTCAGCTCAGCCTGTTGATTTATAGTTTCTTCAGTGTGAGGTGAAGTTCTTCTTCTTTTGGGCCAGCTGAAGATTTTATTTTTTTTTCCTCTGCAATTAAAGAATTTGATCATCATGTCTGAGGATTTTTGTAGATGATGTCATGCAAATTCAGATTATTGCTAGTCATTTTAGCACAGAAAACCTAAAATAAATAAAGGTGACGTAAGGCTAAGAAGAAGGCCAATTGTTTACTCTCGTTTCTGCCACACAATTCCTAGGAGTACAGTGAGAAAAGTTTGTAACCGTTGGCTCTAAAATGGCATAGAAGTTTATATATATCGAATGCTGTATTAGAAATTAGTATTAAAAAAGATAAACAGGAGATAGGACATAACAATGCGTCTTGCTAACTGTTTTAGAACATTGTATCTTGTTATTTCTTCAGCAAACAGCAGTGACAGTGACGAACTATCTGCTTTTGAAATTGTGTCCAAGTCTCAGTCAGCAAAATCGGTTACTGGCATGAAATCTCACCAAACCAAATCACTCACAAGAACACAATCTCCAGGAAAATGTGGGAAAAATGGAGAGAAGGAGTCTGATCTCAAAGAACATAATCGTTTGCCCAAAGTTTACAAATGGAGTTTTCAAATGTGTAAGTATTTTCTTCAAAACACATCTCATGTGGTCTTGCAGTATAGTATAAGAAGGCTTTTTGAATTTTGTGTATTTTGGTTTCTTCCCCTAAAATTATTCGATCCTCAGTTTGCTTAATTTTGTGATAAATCCTGATTTAAAAAAAAAAATAAAATTATTGCAGTGCAGGAAACTGCCTGTACCGCACTCTTCCAATACTGTTCTTCGTATTTAGCTCCTGCGCTGACTTGCTGTTCTTGCCATCTGGTGCAGACCTCTCATTCTGGCATGCATGTTATCCACTGTATGTGCTTCTTGTGTTGACATTTTCTTGCTGTTTTACTCCTCATTCTCTACTTATTGTTCAGACACTTACATGATTGATTTGTAACTTTTTCCCCTTCCATTTTGCCTTAGTGAACCAGGACATGTTTACTGTTTCTAGTCATAAGAACTTTCAGTGTGTTTGTGTCAGTTAGCTACGGGTACACGTATAGCTAGGGGTGAGGCAGTGTGGAGAAGACCATGCATTTGCCTACCTGAAAAACAGTTCAGTAGCTTATTAATACCTCGATATTAATGCAACTTCTTAATTGCCTCTGTGTGTGTGTATGCTATTGCAGCGTTATTTGCAGTGGGGAGAAAAGTACGATAAAATACTAGGTAATTGAAGCCTTCTTCCTCAATATAACAATAACCAAACAATTGAAAAGAATTATTTAAAAACAAAAGCACGCTGGTTTTAGGCCTCTCTCTTACAGCGTCTGGGTATTTAATTGTCTGGTCAGCAATAAATTGCTGTCCCTAGTACCAGCCATGGATGTATGGCATTGAATGAGTTGCTTTCTTTTTGCTTTTAAAGGTCAAATTGAAACTGTGGTGTGACTGATTTAAATTACTTCTTAAAGTAATCCATAGTATCTCATGCCATACTCACAGGTGACCTTAGTGTACGTCAACTTTCTGAAGTTCTCGGAGCATTATGCTCCGCACTTTTCTGCGCTCTGCCCCAGGCTGTGTGAAGGCTGCTGTTCCTCGCATAAAGTGGGAACAGCAAAGAGCTGGCACAGCACACTGTGCAGACACATCTGCTCATTTATTTATTTTTTTTTTTCTTTTTTTTTGCCAGCAGTGTTCTTTCATGCCCAGGGAATTCTCCACTTAACCAGCTGTTTCTGCAGTGAGAGAATCTGACCCTGCACTTTTTTTTTTTTCTCTCCAGCCCTGGATCTCAGTGTTACTCTAAAAGTATTTTTCTCCTAGTACTTTTTCACAGTCAAGTTACATTCTGCTGCTCTTCAGGACTGTGTAATGTAATAGGTCTTCATTGTCACTTACTGGCCTGCTGAGATTTATTGGGCAGATTTCCTCTGCAACACATTTGAAGAGCTTTTGCTCCTTCCTTCCTTTCTTTCTACCTTGGTGACGTTGCATGTGCTAAATCTGCTTGGCCCAAGCTGGACTTTGGAGTGCTGTTTAACACATTTCCTGCTGTTGTCGAGGTCTCAGACGCTTGCAATGTCTCTGAGCTTTCCTCATCTTCCCACTGCTTAATACAGTCGTGGCTTTTGGTCCTTTGGTGCTGCCTTCATTATAGGTTGATGAAGTGCATTGTGCACCCCATGGTAGTTTAAATAAATCGAGTGTCTCGAGCGTGGCTTACCTTTGGCTGAAAGGGACTGAACCGAGATGGTTCCTTCTGCCTGTGTCGCCCCTGAGCTGGGAACAGCCAGAGGGATGGCTCTTGTGTCAGCCGTGGCCATCGACATCCCCATGTGGGATGCCATTGAGAAGAGATCCTGTATAGTTATACCTCATGGCCCGTATGCCATGGACTCTATTGGAACCACCCCACAGCTACTCGGATTCCTCTTGTACCCTGCTTGTTCTGTAACAACCAAGACAAGTCTGGCAAGACCAACCTTCCTGGTGGATTAGGCCAAACTGAGCTCTAGCAAGGACTAAAACCAACAGGCTAAAAGCTAGTTTTGGCCCCTGTGTTTTCACCAGTTGTCTTAATTTTTTTTTTTTTCTTTTCCTTCCTGTGGGGAGGGGGAATGCATGCATTTTCTTCCTCTCTCACTTCCTTAAAAAAAAAAGAAAAAGTGTATCTATGTAGTATCTTTTAAAAAATAATAAAAAATTAACAAAGTTTGTGATAATAGACAGCAGCTGCTGTTGCTGCTGGCTTTGCTGTCTGCTACCTCAAAGCACATCACTAAGATTTGAGTGATGCTTTACTGAAATTCAGAAGTTTTTAGAAATGCTGCAATATAATAATTAACAGAGATTGTTTAACTTGCAGCTGACTTAGAAAATTTGACTAGCGCCGAGCGCATAACAGTTCTCCAAGAAAAACTGCAGGAGATCAGGAAACATTACCTGTCCTTGAAATCTGAGGTGGCTTCCATTGACCGAAGAAGAAAGCGCTTAAAGAAAAAAGAGCGGGAAAGTAAGTGCTGGGAACTAAATTCTATTTTCAGAGGGCTAAATTGCATGTCATGTTATTAAGGTGTGAACAAGAATTGCATAATTTTCAGGGAGATGTGTGCCATTAGGAGTGTGGTTTTGTTTGTCTGATTTTTAAAAATACTGTATACAGTTATTTTATAATCTTTAGAAGGTATGGTTCAGACATCCAGTGACTATGCAAGGGGAAAAACATTAAAAAGGCATGCAATCTATTTAATTCTGTTTAGGCAGAACTACTTTATACAGGAAAAAAAATACACAGAAAAATAAACTTTTCTAAGCAGTGAACAAAGTATCTAAGGTTATTAATAATGCAGAACTTTTCTTCAAGTTAGGCGATAATGTACTATAGTATTGTTAGTGCTTTCCCCTTAGGAGAAGTGAATTATGAGTTTAAGGGAGACTATCAATTAAATCTCTCATTTCCCTGAAGCAGCTTTACCTATTGCTGTAGAGAATATTCTAGCATGCCTGCTTCTAGCAGCATTAATAAGATTATTTTCTCCATGTCTTGCTTATGTGCATATTTAAGAGTTCACAGAGTATAAGAAGAAAGACTGAAATGCCATGTATAGTAAAATTTTATGGCTGCAGCCATCACACGGGAAGCTGCAGTTGCTTCTTGGTTGCCGGAGCAGGGTGTATGTGCAGATTCTGCGCTGGGACAAGGCCCTGCCTGTGCCGGTACCTGCAGGGAGGAAAGGGAATGGTTGACTCTGCTTGCGGGTCAGGAATGGGCTTGGGTGTCCTCTGGCTGGGCCCTTGGGCTGGAAGGGGCAGTGCCATGCTGTCTTGCACGTGGCCGAAGCTGGCTGTCAGAATATTTCCCACAAAAACTAGGGAAGGGAGGCGTTTTTAATTACTAGGCATTAATTGCTGGAGTCAGTATATGCTGATGCTGCTTGTTGAATGAGAAAACATTTTTATTGCTTAATTTGTAGATTTTTTTTTTAATAACCTGTGTTTTCCTCTTCTGTGCAGGTGCTGCTACTGCATCATCTTCTTCCTCATCACCTTCCTCTAGTTCCATTACAGCTGCAGTTATGTTAACTTTAGCAGAACCATCTATGTCAAGTTCATCACAGAATGGAATGTCAGTGGAGTGCAGGTGACAGCAGGACTTGCCAAAGCACTTTGCACTTAATGGCTGCTGAGGGCCACTCTTATTGTTTTTCTTTTTCTTTTTTTTTTTTTATACTGCACAGTGGCACAAAATTCAGACAAGCACTATTTTGTATTTAAAGTTGTTTCTTGACAAGCTAACTTTGCACTTAAGTGCACTTTTATGAAGAAAAAAGTACAACAAACTGCTTTTCCTCAAGCAATAATTGTTTCCAACTTGTCTGGGAATTGTAAGTCTAGTGACTCGAAGGCCTTCCACTGTGGCAAATGGAGGCTGTTCACTGCCTGTAGAGACAGTACAATAAGTATAGAGTTGTTGGGTTGATTGAAATAAATGTGGTAAGGCTTACTGTATTCCCTGGTATTTTGTTAAAGCTGGAACATTTGATATTTTTCCATTTATTTATGACAAATATTGAACCTATTTTCATTTGTACAAGCTAATTGTTTTTTAACTGCTAAGTCACCTTATAGTGGCTTTAATTGTATACGTCAAGCACATGTATTCAATTCAAAACCTGCAGTTAGTAGGATGTATGACATCAGTCCTGATAACCAAATATGAGGATTCTTTTAAAAAAACAAAAAAAGACTGACTAATGTTTACAGGTTTGAATTAGGCTTAAATAGGTAACTCTGGGTTTTAAGAACCCATTAATTGGAATGAAACTACTGTACTTTGCCATTTTTCTATAAAACAGTATTTTTTTTTTTAATTTTGATAAAATACATTATGAAAAAGAAAGAAAATGGCTAACAAACTGTATTAAATCTTAATGTATAAAGATTGTATTTAGCCAGTTTAAAGTGTATATTTATTCATAATGGATTATAACAGTTATATTTTTGTGTTTTCTTGTAAATGTTTCTTTTCCCTTAAAGCAACAAATATTTCATTTGTAATGCTTATTTTATTACGAGCTTCAAGGAGAGGACTTCAAGATGGAGTAAGGCGTGAGGTTATAATTTGTGGTTGCTGATATGAACGCTGCCACAAAAGGGTAGTTGTTTTTAAAATAAATAGCTAGCTGAGTGGTAGACATTTAATTTTTTAAATGCCGTGTACAAATTCCAAAACCAACTTCAAACTGTTTTCACTTGTATTGATTTTATGTTGTATGGATCCCAAGCTCTCTCCTGTTAATTATATACCTTTGTAAGACATTTGTATATTGCGGAAGTGTTCATTCAAGCTATTTAATACCTGGCACTGTTAATACACAGTACTTTATTGTACAGATTGTTTTACTGTTTTAATTGTAGTTCTGTGTACTTCTTTTGCCTGGGGAAATAGGGGCTGGCATGTTTTTCTTTGTTTCTGGCAATACAACATGTAAGAATTCAAAGCATTTTGTTTGTAGATGCTAGCGTGTCAGAATCCTTTACATTTGACTTTTCTAAGAAAAGCATTTTCAGTCTTGTAGTGTGTGCTTAAGGTTAAATGATTTTATTGATAATGGTTTCAAAGTATTCAGAATTGTACAGGACTGTAAAAATTTGTTGACAAACATTGAAGGAAAAGCTTATAGAAAAAAGCTATAAAATATATATTAGGTTCGCAGAAAATGGAGAATTATGTAATATATTGTACAAATGTAAGCAAAGGCCTCTGAAATAAAATGCCATAGTTTGTGAATCCCTGATTTTGTTTCTAACAGTTTAATTAAGCAACCATAGTGTGTTCATTAAAATGACATCAAGCTGCCGAATCACTTTAGCAAATGATCTTTGATATGGTGTAATAGGCATATAAAGATAAACTAGAGTGGGTACATCAGCCTAATTTTCCTCTTAGTAATTAATTCAAATTCATCTTCTTTTTCAACAGAAAGCGAAAGAGACGACGTCGGCATCGTTAAGACAGCACAGTGGTTGAAATAAAGACGAGTTTTGATTCATGTTAATTCAGGTAGTTTGAAAACGTAGAAGCCAGCTCCCGAAGATATTTATTGACTCCTAATATCGACTGCCTCAAGTTCAGAGTCAGTGGAAGTGAAACTGGAATAAAATTTTATTGTCTGCTTACATCATGTCTGGCTGTAGTTCAGTTGACCAAAATACTGTTACACCTGCAAAATGATAGACTGATAATTAACAAGTGATGATAAGCTTTGGAAACATTGACTCTGTTGATAATTACCAATGATCTGAGACTACACAGGAGTAATTTTAATAATTGCAGTGGGGCTACTCAGAGGATATTTACATATGTTTTAGGTTTAGCAGAATCAGAGTCCTAATAGTTCAGTTCTGCCTTTCAGTCCCGGTAGGCGTAACCGGTATTGATTTAACTGGGAACTACGACTGGGCAAGCAAGAGCAAATTCAGCTCTCCTCTCACTATTAGGTCTTGATCAGCTCTCGGTTTCAGCGCCAGCAGTTTTGCTTTGACGTGACAATTGTTGACTCTCGTTCTAGGAGAGGGTTGGTTTGTTTACATGTTTAAAACGGGGATCATTAGTCACCTCCCCACTCCCACTGAGTTTTTGCATAAACAGGATTTTTGCTGTTCTTTAATACAGAGATGATTTAATTTTTGTTGTACTTCCCATGCAGTTTAATGACCAGACAAAAATCCATTCTGGATGTTTTATGTTGCACCTCTTCTGTGCACTTCTGTAAGCAGTGCTTTCCAGGGTCAGGTTACTTGTGTCCCAGTGGTTACAAAGGAAGGTGCCTTTGGCAAACTGTCAGCCAGGCAATTTTATCCCATGTTCCAGTGAGTCAAATCCAAGCTTCTTTTCGGGCCACGCATGGTAACGCAGCTTTAAACCTGTGCTTGGCATGCACACTGCTTACAGCTGAGAGTTTCCCACTGTGCTTATAGCTGAGAGCGCAGACTGTCCGCATAAGCTCAGGGAAAGTACGCCTTGCGTGAAGACTGGCTGCACTGCTCCCACCTCCCTTTATTTACTTTCCACCAATGCTTGTATGTATGCTTTACTGTGTAGTTTGCATCATGCCCTGAAATCTTCCTGTCGCCGTAGGGCTCAAACTCACTCTCTGGCAGAGTTCCTGGGGGCTGTGTGTCTTTTGTTGAGCTTGCAGCAATTACAGGTCTCTGAAATCTGCCAGCTGAACGCTTGTCCAATGTAATTTTGATTTATTTTGATGGTTCAGCCTGTTCTGCCCCACCTCTGTCACCTACAAAACTGCTCTGTTGTCTGCAGGTGGATTGGAAAAGCCAATACAAGTAGTGCAGCAGCCACTGGCCACTTTTTAAGAATTTGTGTATTCTGTTGTGCTGACCCCAGCTGTGAGGGTCCCTACCCTTCCCGGCATCCGGAAGGCCAGATACTGGATGCCTGGTACCTGTGTCAAGACTTTAACGCTTTACCTTTATTTCATAGCTGGATTACCTGTTTTGCCTTTGGATGGATATTGGTGCCAACAAAACTGCTAACACTGGCAGTTCAAAAACGCATAAAATGTTAGAAGAGCTGTTCACATCTGCTTCAGACTTAAATTAAGTGCCTGGTAATTTTCTATGCCTTTCCAATTATCACATCATCTAGCATTTAAAATTACATCCTGGACAGGCAGGTCTAAAAGGAGATCCCAATTAAATGCCTTATTTCAGAGAGTTAGTAATGAGAACAAACTTCTTTCTGCATCAGCTGCACGGTGTTCTGGGTTGGAAATGAGAATTAACCTAACAAAAAAGGGTCTTTTCCAGTTGGATCCGTTATCCAGTCCTATCCACGTAGCTGCAGCAGCGAGATGATCCAGAGCACTTAATCTCTACTGGCGACAGAGTGAAGCTGGGGGGAAGAGGTGTGACTGGTCCCCCAGGCTGCAGGTCCTCAAATGCCCCCAGAAGTACTGGGTTTCGGGGATTTTTTCATCAGAAAAATCCTTACGTGCTTTTAAAGCCTGCTGCGGATCTCAGGTGCAGATGAAACAACGCGGAAGGAAACCGCCTGCCCAAGTGACGCTTGGGGATGAATCTCTCTGGTGGTCTAAGAACTCCTTAAGACTGTTTGAGCAATAACTGTGTACCTGCCTGTGGCTCTCTGCTCTTCCCACAACCTGGTTTTGTTTGTAGCATGTACCGAGTTTACTGCAGACGAACAAGTCAGAGAAACCGTTCAGTTTTAGGTGCTCTTTACCCCCTTGCCCCTTTGTTGTTTTCTAATCCTTTTCCAGGTTTGTCTCACGGTGAGCTACTTTAAAAGGGGTGCGTGAGCATCAGAAGGATACTTTCTGCCTGCGAACCGAAGCATGAGGTCACCCAGCCTGGCGATTGCGCACCTTCCCAAAACGGTTTGAGGAAGCCCTTTTCCATGGACTTTAGTTCAGCAGCGGCGCTGCCGGAGCGTGAGGCAGCCTGGCACAGACCCGACTTTTTGACCGTTTCCATTTAATCTGCACTCAAGGACAATGAGAACGTCTCACATGGACTTTAACTGAGGGTTTGGGGTTTTGTTTATTGTTTTGTTCCGTTTGTTTTGTTTTTTTAAAACTTCATCCTGGATGTGGGCTGGATAGCAGTCATGAAGATAGACAAAAAAGGATGTTGTAAGTAGTACTTCCACAGCAGCATGGGGCAAAGAAAATTATTCTTTCTGTAGACAACAGCAACGGTTTTTTTAACCACTTGTGGCACTCTCACTGAAGTGATTTTAAGTAGAAAGAGCTTGAGAAGACAGAAGTAATCACAGAATAATGTATGTCTCCCTTCTCAGATGGAGCAGAGCGCAGCAGGCTTGGAGCTGAGGGTCTTGGAAAATAAGTTACGGTTTGTTCCCCGCCCCAAAAC